GGTAGTCAGCCTAGGGTTTTTTCGCGATTCAAATTGGAAATGCGTTGTGGTAATCTCGTCGATTGTTGTTTACAGTAAACAGTTACGAGATTTAAATATTTGTGGTAATGTTAATGTGGTAAATGTGATTGAGCTACATGCCTGCATCTCTTACATGAAAGATAAATATGGGATAAATGGATGGAGAGATGAACAAAATCTCTTGAAGGTGAATTTAACATACTGTAACTTAACCAGCCTCTGCTGTAAGTGAGGAATTTTTTAAGCTTTAATCTTGAATTAGTAAATTATTATGGAAAAAAATTGTTAAGTGCTGAAACTGTTACAAATCTTGAGTTGGTTAACTTTATGCAACAACAAATTATAGTTTTCAATCATCATCATCTTTCATGATTATTGATAATAACTTTTTCTTTTTGTTTCTTGAACAGCCTATTGGAACAAATGAAAACTGCCCTGTGCAGCAGAATTCAGAGCATTCTGCAACAACAGATTGTTACTAACTCAGCATGTAACACTTTGTTTTGTGATTGGTGCAGAGTGGTACAAGTCTTGGCAACCAATCAGATGCTTATACTTAAGCCATTTGTGACTTTGTCCAACCCATTTATCCTGTATCCAAGACAATAATTTCTTTAAAAAACTAGTTTATATAGAATTTGCATGGCCAGTTGCCAATTTTTTTGCCTCTAGCTTGATCTGTTAACCCTTTAACTCCCACGAGTGACCAAGACAGAATTTCTCCTTTGAATATCAACTCAGAATCAAGCAGACAAGTGAGGAGAATGAAGATGAAAACTCAGTTAGGGGACTACAAGTTGATCCAATACCAAATTCTCCAAATTGAAATCATAAGTATTATTTTTATGGCAGACAGTAGGGAGAATTACTAATGAGATCTTGGGAGTTAAATGGTTAAAGTATTGGCACTCAGGTGAGAAGTGGGTAGTATGGTCAGATCAACCCATGATAAGCTTAATTTATAATAAGTACCTTGCAGCAAAGAACCAGCACTATTGTTAATACTTGGACTTGTGGATATGGAAGAAATGAATTTCACCTGTTATGTTAAAGTTGAAACATTTAATTTAAGATCCAAATCATTTGCTTTACATTGCTGCTTTTGCTACTTGTCTCTTTTGCTCCTAAAATCTCCTTTAGTAGTTCTCCTTGCTGTCTGCCATCCAATTATTATATAAATGCTACTTCTGAGACTTTGGTAAATCAAATTCCCTTAAATTCTAAATTTCCCATCACTCCTTGACGAGTATTTATAAATTGAGGAGAAATTAATTCTGTCTTGGTAACCTACAGTAATTAAATGGTTTAACTAAATAATTATTCTGGTCTATTGTATTCATTTGTCTTTATTTTGTTTTGTCATTACATAGTTCACTAGCTTTATGCATCAGATTTCAAGGTCATTGCAGCTATGGGAGATTTGTTTACAGTATGTGTTTATTTCACAACAAATATGTTTGTTATTTTCCAATCTGATATAAGTTTGAGGTGTTCATTTCCTTTGACAAATACAATTTTGTTTTTCAAGGTTGGCCAAGGAGCAAGAGCAACATCAG